AAAAAAAAAAAAAAAAAGCAAGAAAACCATATTTTTTTTAAAATATATATACATTTTTTAATTGAAATATCATACTTTAAGACAATATCTCTCTCTATATATTAATTCAAAATGTATTGAGTTTAAGTGGCAGATTCTCACGTTTTAGATATTGATATGGCGAAAATCTATCTTTCGTGATGTTGTTTTTATATTATTTTTGTTCTAGAATTAGGTTTGATATTAAAGATAATTAACTTTTATCATATTCTTGTTAACTTAACACTCGTGTTGTATACGGGTATTGTACTAGTAATTTTTGAAATAAAAAAAAAAAGAGAGAGAGAGAGAGTGATTATACTCGGTTTTGGGAAAATTCGATCCTACCCATGTGGGCAGTGCCCACATGGGGTTTTTCACCATTGATATACACATAAACACACACACACCCACATGGGTGTGTGTGAAATCAATGGTGAAAAATTCCATGTGGGCATTGCCCACATGGGTAGGATCGACTTTTCCCTCGTTTGACCCGACGACTGGTGGCGATTGCTGACATGGACCCAAATTTAATACACTTTCAAAATCTGGAATTTATTGACAAGTGGATTTAAAAGGGAAAATACATACGTGGTTTCGGAATGAAAAATCACGTGCTTGTAATTGCTATCACGTTCACGCCTTTTTTGATTGATATTATCCATTTTATTTTATATTTTTATACTAATAAAACCCAAGTCAAAAGTGTCACGCTTGAAACTTCCCCATTCTCTCTCCCTATAAATACACACTATAATTCATCATACAGAAGATGTACTCTCAAACAAGTTTCACATACGTATTAGCCATGGAAGTTGAAATCAGCATGTTGTTGAAGGTGGCCATTTTCATGGTGGTCCAAGGCCTTGTCTACCTCATCCTCTCACAGTCCTCCAATGTCTTCTCCAAGACTCGAAAATCGAACAGCTTCAAGATGGCTCGGACGATAAGCATCCGCCGCTGGGCCGCCGCCTTAGCCGATATTCCGGCGGGCGGCGAGCAATCTCCGGCGCCTAGGGATTTTCTCCGGGCACTTAGCCTCAAAGATAGTAATTGATTAGCTCCGGTTAAGATGGGTTGATTCAATTGTGGTTTTTATTATTTTTTGTTCATTATTCATCTTTGTAATGTTATTCTTTGATTTTATTTATTCTTTTCGGGTTGATTAATGGGTTGCATGATGATTAGACCTGTAAATGAGCCGAACCGATCTCGAACTTAAGGTGCTCGAGCTCGATTCCTTAATGGCTCGACTCGTTAAACAAACAAGCCTGAAATCGAGCTCAAGCTTGACTCGTTTATCACACAAATAACAAGTCGATCTCGAACTTTAACGAGCCGAACTATAAAATATTATACAATAGTTCTCTTTTAATTTCGAGCCATGTCGAGCTCGACTCGTTAACCAAACTAGTTTAAATGAGCTCGAGCTCATCTCATTTATCAATCTAGCCAAGCCAAACTCCAGCCCAGCCGAGCCGAGCCCAGCCCAGCCGAGGTAGGCTCCTAATTGAACAACCCAAGTGATGATGATATTTTGAATTTCGATTATGCAATATATCTAAATAAAAATAAAAATAAAAATGCAGTTTGTATGATACGCGAGGAATGATCATAATTTACAATGGAATATTTTGAATTGTTTAGTTATAAATATTGTAATCACTCTTAATTATATGTATTTTTTGTGAGGTAGAAAGTTTCCAGGAAGGTTACAAGAGACGTTTCGTACTTACAAAGCTCAAGTTGATGTTTTTAATGAAAGTTAGTGATGCAGACCCTAGTAAGATATTGTCCGCTTTGGGCTACTTCCGTCACCCGCACGGCTTTGTTCTTGGCTGGGCTTCAATACACACCCACCAAAACGCGTTTTACTAGTGAAGGTATCCACATCCTCATATAAGGCCTACTTCGTTTCCTTTCAAACCCGATGTGGGATGCGCTGCATCATCCACCCCCTTGTGGGCCCAGCGGTCACCGCTGGCACATGGGCTGGCTCTGATACCAACTGATGCAGACCCTAGTAAGATATTGTCTGCTTTGGGCTACTTCCGCCACCCGCACGGCTTTGTTCTTGGCTGAGCTTCAATACACACCCACCAAAACGCGTCTTACTAGTGAAGGTATCCACATCCTCATATAAGGCCTGCTTCGTTTCCTTTCAAACCCAATGTGGGATGCGCTGCATCAGTTAGTTAAATATTGGTCAAATTGGTATTTTTTTTTTTCAATTGAAATTTATTTACAAAAGTACGCATTTATAATTATAATTAAGAGTATAATTGCTTTTTGCTTGTCAAAATTGAATATATAATTGTTAATGTTCGAGAATGAAGTTGTTTTTTGCTAGGGTTGTAAATGAAACGAGCCGAGCTCGAGCTCAAGCCCCGCTCGACTCGTTAACTAAATGAGTCAAAAATCGAGTTCAAGATCGCCTCATTATCAATATTAACGAGTCGAGTTCGAGCATTGCCTATCGACCTGAGCTAAGTTCGTTAAAGAAGTGAGCTTAAACGAGTCTGATAAATGACCAAGCTGAAGTCGAGCCTTAACGAGTCGAGCTAGTTCCGTTTTCCATATCTATTTTTGGCCAACATATTAATGTGTTCATGTGTGGATATTATAACACTGTAGACAGTGCTAGTGGTTGCTTCAAATTTTGGCCCAATTTTATTTTTGTTGGCCCACACATACGATCCTTGGCCCAAAAGGACACTGTCCAAAGACTATGAAAATCTAACGGGAAATAAATAAATAAATAAAACTGATGTACACAACAAACAGCACTTCATAGGGAGAAAACACTCACAAAGTGCGTGCGATACACGTTTCATTCACCTCCCCGACGATCTATCCTCACTGTAAGCATCTCGTGCTTCGAGATTTTGTTTATTGGAGCTAGTAGTTCCGTTCATGTGTGTTTGTTCATGGAGTAATCGTCTGTTTGGTTGTGATCTGCTGAAAATCTGTCGTCAGTTGTTTTTTGTTGTGTTGTTATGCGTACAATGGATGTGTTTCGTCGGTAATTGATTGTTTTCGAACTAATTATGAGTTTCAGTTTGAAGAAATTGCGTGAAAAATGGTGTTCCAGAGGAGTGTTTCCCTGCTGTCCAAGCTACGGTCGCGCTCTGTGAGTGAACCTTTCTCTTCAGTTCGAGTCAACTGGAGAAAATGAAGAAGAGTCGGTTTTGTGTGATTTGGTTCACGTTTGTTGTGCATGATTGTTCATTTGAATGTTGAAATATTTTGTGCCGCAGGCTCGACAACCGGGTCTGGGCAATTCGGTCCGTTGGCTCCAGTCCTTGGCTGGCATTGTGAGTCATTTCGTTTATCTCATGACTTTACTTTTTGCCCTTTTTTGTTTCAGGTTGTGGAATGTTTATGTTAGCGAAACTGGTCCAGTGTAGAAGCATCATTAGAGTATATCTCTCGTCTGTATTGTGGTCGAAAATGTTTTTTCAAAGCGTAAGTGGAAAATAGTGAAGGGAGTGAAAAGAATGTTATTGAATACCTTTGTTGTAGATCATAACAGAGGAAGGAGCTAGAGTGTGAATAGGGAGGAGATTAGAGCGGGGTCAAGGAAGTTAAAAATCATGGATGGAGTTTATTTTTTTACTGAGGGGCTGCAAATGAAATATTGGTTGAATAGGATTGGGACTGTCGGATGTCGATGGATATTTCATGAGTTCTAGACTTATCATCCTTACGTGTTTTGTTGCTTTGCATTTGCTCATCATCGAGAAGCTTACTTAATTTGTTGATGCTTTTGTAATGTTGGCTCATTTGTAGGACCTTCATTCTCAGCTGAAGGAATTGATACCCGAACAGCAGGTAATGCCAGGTGTTATGTTTTTGGTAATACAAAATTCACAATTTACTGAATCTATTCTGGCAAAGGCAAAAATATCTAGTAATGCGATAGTTGTTCTTGTTTGAACGTGTTCAATATATTTTTAAGTAAATGAACATAATGTTGATGCCAGAAAAGTTTCTCAGCTGTATTGATGTTTATTGGACACTCCATATTTATTTGTTGCAGGAGCGCCTAAAGAAACTTAAGTCGGAGCATGGAAAGGTTCAGCTTGGGAACATAACTGTTGACATGGTATAAGATTTTCTTGTATTTATCTTTTCTTCTCTCGATTTTAGAGAAACTAACGGCATTGGTACTAATGTTGGGATATCTACAACAGGTACTTGGTGGGATGAGAGGAATGACGGGATTACTGTGGGAGACCTCATTGCTTGATCCAGAAGAGGTATCCCCTTTATTCACTTAAGGGTGTAAATTAGTCATGCGGTGTATATGTCATGCAGAACCTTTAAGGTTTCTTAAGGTGCATTATGCGAGAGGTACTTACCAGATGTGCGTTGTTATTAACTTTCTTACTTAGGGAATTCGCTTTCGAGGCCTGTCGATTCCTGAATGTCAGAAATTGTTACCAGCTGCAACGCCTGGTGGAGAACCACTGCCTGAGGGTCTTCTCTGGCTACTTTTAACAGGAAAGGTAGTTTGCTTTCTATCACCTGCATTTACACCAAGTCTTCATTATTTGAATTTTTTTTTTTTTTTTTTTCCTGTTGTGAGGGGGGTGGAGGTTTAGGCTACATTGCATTTGACCTTGTTTCATATTTATATACATCTTTGCAATTAGCATATGTTCTGGCATTGACACGTCGTTGAGCCTCCTCATCAATTTAATATATATAAATAATTGTTTTGGGACCTTTTAAATCCCATGTTTGATTAAATTAAGTTAATCTTCGCCTATTTGTTTCCTCACTTCATCTAGGTGCCAACAAAAGAGCAAGTGGAAGCTTTATCAAAGGAACTACAAAGTCGTGCTACTGTCCCAGGTTCTTCAGCTCTCAAACATATAATTAAATGCTTAGACTCTGGGAAAAGATAATCTAATATTCGAATTTATTATTCAAGCATTTCACCTATACTTTGCTATATTTAAAATATTCAAAAAAGGTTCATGGAGCTATTTTTGGTGTACATGCTTGCTGTTTTAGTGGTTCTACTCTCTGTTCTCATGCATCTATGTTTAACTTCTAATTTATGTGGTCTGTGTCCATTTAAAGCAGCACTTTCTGGCTTCTATGTTATCTATGCAAATGTTCTTACTAACTCTTATGATTGCAGATCATGTATATAAAACCATCGATGCGCTACCTGTTTCTGCTCATCCAATGACTCAGTTTGCAACCGGTGTCATGGCTCTTCAGGTTACAATCTTCTCATCAGATCCTCAATACTTATGAATAGGCCTGTTGATTGCACACGTTTCCACCATCTAGTCCTGATGCATATTCATCCTTAATGTCGTCCAGTTTTGATTCTTACATTTAATATCTTGTCATGCTTTCAGCGTTGTGTATTTTGTTCATGTTGTTTAAGCTTGTAGTTCTATTCCTGAGCCATGGTTTAAAACAATGACTTAGATATAAGGTCACCAATCTGAAGCTTTAAGGTTTGAACAGAGCAGAAAGTACTGTTGGTTGCCTTTTGCTTCGATTTCTACTCCTGTCTCAGTGTTCACTATAAGCTTCAAAAAGGTGGAAATTGGCTGACATTTGAATCCAAGACCTAATGTGGCTTTATCACTGCGTTTGTATTTGTGCAGTGCCATACCTAATGTGCCTTATGGAGTGTTTCCTTCAGATGAGACCCTAGTTTTGAGGAATTTCTACTCGCAGTTAAAAATTGATTGCTTCTTTCTCAAGCCAGATTAAACGAACACTATGTGGTTCTGGAAATGAAAAGGCTGGAATAGATATATTTACTGTTGATATGGTCGTTAGTAGTGGCTCGTGAGGAACCGGTTGTGATCCGGTCGTCATTGTCCATATGAAGGGGACCGGTTAAGCATTATGGTAGTCGGCAATTGGGAGTGCTCGGCGTCGCACGGTGTTCGGCGCCCCTCAAGTGCTCGACACTGGGGGTAGACAGGATGAAGTGTCTGGCGCGGCATCGCCCGGTATGATGAGTGACCGGCGTATGGTGAATGCTCGGCGTAGGCGAGTGCCCGGCGTGGGCGAGTGCTCGGC